TACTTTCGGAGTTTTATGAATTCGTATGAAATTAATATTTTGGGAGCCTAGGCGCGCGTCATTTACAACATTCAGAATATCCATCAGGCTTCAGAACAGCACAATACTAAAGGCAGCGTTCAGACTTCGCGACGGCAGCGCTTTCGACGCGATCGATGCGCATGCTTTCAACTGCATCGATCGCGTCGAACGCGCGACCGAAGCGCTGCCGTCGCGAAGTCTGAACGCTGCCTAAGAAATGTCTTCGGTGCACTCAATGCTATGTAGCTACTTAAAAACGTGGTTGTCATTTCGAGACGATCGTAATGCTCGCATGCCTCGCGCAAGCGCCTGAGCCAAGATGCATCTTCAACACTGCCTTCTCTTTACCGAAAGACGTCAGGTGTAGTGATATTGTGCAGAAAAGCCGTATCAACGAGGAAGGGACCACAGTGTGGCATGGCAAACACGACCAGCGTGGATTTCGGTTTCGAAGCATCCTGCGATTACAATAGTTAGGCAGTGACGTACAAAAACAGAAGTGTCGGTGTTGGAATACTAGTAAAAGGAGGAAAGAAAAAAAGAATTCACATCAACACATCGATGAGGGCTCCTTCCTACAGTTGTCCATGATCACTTATAAGGCACTGGGCACGATAATTTGGTACCCTAAAAAAATGGGAGCAGAGGCACTCTATCTCACTCTAAAGAGGGCAACGCCTCTTATCTGCCTCTATTGTGGACAGTGAGTCAAAGACGGGACGAAACAGCCTAAAACGCCCAAAATAAGGTCTTAGTTAACTACTACATTCAGGTAGTGTAGGAGTCTTCGTCTGGGATAAATCATCGATGGTCAATGTGAAAAAAAATCACGGCGACTGCACAGGAAATATGTGCTGAGTTCAAGTCAGACGATGCACCAACGGTCGAATTATCCTTTGTCCAAATGCTGAAAAGGGTTTCTGTGGTGTTCCAATGTAGCTTTCGAGGTAGATAAGTAGTTTTGAGGTAGATACTGGCCTCCCGCCTTGCTGAAAAATGCGTGAATGCAGTAGCAGTTCAGAAAAAGCAAACAAACGAATAGGTCAAACTTAGGGTTCCTTTTTGACTTTTTTAATCAAAAACATCAGTAGACACCCGATTACTGATACAGCACCATTGCAAACGGAGGTACTTCCGAAAACTTCCAACTTCCAGGAGAATTAAGCCGAAGAGGATCTTGGTGTACATGCAACGTTGAAAATGCCCAGGCCGGTCCGACAGCGCCTGTCGTTTTGGGAATTATCTCTCGCTGTGATTATCTTCTCGATTGCTCGCCTATTATTCGGAACGAGGCTCCACTGGATCTACTTCAAAAGAACAATGACTTTCACCATTTTCTTCAAAGCTGCTCCCTTAGAAGTATCTATCTTCTCGATAAAAGTGATAATTCTAGGTCCCTTTTGAAGTTACGTGGAAGCCTTTGTCAGGTCCGGAGCGGTTTCGTCTACTCCTTCACTGCGCTTTTTTCTTTCCTTTATGACTAAAGAATTATGATGAGTCCATTGACCGTTATCCACTTGATTTTGTGATGTGTTTAATGGTACCATTCAAGCCGCGATATGCGCAGGCGTTGAACAGTTCTTGACGAAATCTGAACCGGATAAAAAGTTTCTGAGACCGATAATGGTTTAGCGTGGTAGGTTTGCTTAGAAAAGATTTACAGCAAACGCAAGGCAAGGCTCGAATCGAGAAAGAAATCCAAAATGCCCTCGTTCTAAAGATCACTGACGGGGAAAATTGCAAGATATTCAGAAGAGGAACGCTAGGCTAGAGATTAATACAGAAAAAAATGAAACAAAGCAAATGCAAGGAGATAGTACTCCTGACAGCTAAGCATGTCGCCGCGTAGGCCGAAGGACACCCTAGCGCTTTGAGGGTTGGCGAAAAGGTGAGAAGCAATATTACTGTAACAAAAGTTTGAAGATGAACGCTCTTACTTCTATGAATCACTTGTCAGGATGCCGCATGTATTTCACTCCCAGTTAAAGTCTGATGGCTTCTGAGAGCCACTGAACCTATATTGCGCTACAGCGCCCCTCCCATAGAATTTTTTGCCGCGAAACCGGTACAAGGTTGTTCGTCGCGGACCACTCTAACCTCCTGACGCCATATTTTCAACTTCGATACCTGATCGCGGACCGTGCCTTTAATAACGGTGTTCTAGGAGAGAACAGATAGCTTAGAGCAGATGCAAGTTGCTCTTCAAAACCCCTTCCAAGTATTTTTTGCGGCTGTACCCCACACGGCCCCCAGTTTTATGAAGTTCACAATTTTCTGATTTAGAAGCCGATGAAGTGTCTCATGAAAGTATGCAGAGAGGTCTGTCTCATCTGAAAGCTACTGTAAGAATTCCAGCCTATGAATAATGCTAAGAAGTAATCATACTAAGAGTCTATTATTACTTGCTGAGAACAAAAGTCACAGGGAAGCCAAAGAAAACAGGACAAGTAGGTAATTAACGCTGCAGCATCGTCCGAAACCTGCTACTGCGCATACAAAAACCAAACTGATGACATAGCTGCTAACATTTGCAAGGGATATATAAGCCGGTAGGTAGCCTTGCCAACATCACCAATCCCTCCAGACACTTCCGATTCCACAATGAGAACCTCCGTCCTCTTCGCTCTACCAGCATTAGTTTGCTTCGTATTGGCTAGCGGTAAGTTGCGAGGAGAATATCCAAGTTTTGAAATATCCCACCGATCTTCATTTTCCGGTTGGAAAAACTGCAAGCTTTCAGACCACTACGAGTATGGAGAAGGTGAGTATGGTGCCGGTCACGGTGGACACGACCACGACAAATCGTATAGCGACGGTTATACGAAAGGGTTCGATAAGGGAGTATATGGCGAATACAGTAGCCACAAGTACGGTGGATTCGGAAAACACGCTAAGGGCAAGGAACACGCATCTCACTACGGTAATCCTTACATTATTAAGAATAACCAACTCCTAAATGGTCAATCATTTTATTTCTAGGATCGGAATATGATGACGGACACGATGAGGGACACCACGGAAAAGAGCATCACGAAGAAGGACACAAATACTACGATGATGGTCATGGCCACGGGCACCACGGACACCACGGAGGCGACCACGATCATTATGGTCACGGAGACTTCGGGCACCATCATGGCCATCATGGACTTCACGGACTTCACGACCTTCATGACTTCCATCACGACTTCGATCATCATGGTGATCATTACGGTACTGCACCTTCTTCTTTTCTCCCTTTTCTTCTTTTTCTGTTACCTTTTGGATCCCGAAGCAGCTCTTCTCACACGTATTTCATAAGTCGTTTTTTATCTAAGTCGCCTTCACTGTTTTACTTCTCGAAATTTGGGCTTGGGTTTTCCCGAAACTATCCTTCACAATATCTAATAAAAACCCCGATGAAACCCTGCTAATTGCGCGATCATCCATGAACGCACGTGTCCCAGGGTCCGGCTCGAAACGTTGCCCCTACCTAACAGGTACGCAGCGTGAATGTTTTCATGAAAAATGGTTGGATAGTCGCGCTCAAGGAAAAGACTACCTGTAGTTCGCAGCGAATTTCGTGCCGTGAGGTGATTTCATGTGGGGAAACATAGGGTAAGTAATGGTGCCCTGAGCAAATTTATGGCTTTAAATTTTTTCGTGATAATTTCATTCATATTTTCCGACTCGCAATGATTTTTGAAGGAGCTCATAGGCTAAACGGACATCTTCTAAGGACTGAAAACGTCATTTTCAGGTCACGATCATTACTGAGTCCCTGCTACCTTTGGAAAAGCGTTCTCCAGCATGTTTCCTAAGTACTACTAATCTAAAGTTATATGTCTTTGAGAATTAAGTTATACATATTTCCTTCCTGCGAATAAATATTTTTGTACGCTAAAAGATGTCACACCTTGCAGAGACAGATTTCGCGATACCAGTATGGGTGGGAAAAAGAACCATCACGTCTCCCACTCTGTACGTCGCTTAAGTTCAAACTGTGCACTCACCTCCGTGGACATTGGTCCTTCTGGGTGTGGAGAGAATAGGTCGGCAGCTGCAGAAGCACTTTCTACTTTCTACGAAAAAATTGTGCGGCAACGGGACTGGAGGATGGTCGATGGATGCTCGGATGTTGGCACGCTCCGAACGCAGCTAGGCACCTATGTAGCTATATTCAAATGCGCTACTTGTTTGCGCTTTCTCAATTCTGATTGTTCTCCACATTTGAGTACGGGCTTTGCTTTGCGGAACCTCGGTGTAGACGCATTTGAGGATAGCGCGTCGGAGCACGGAAATGGGGACCGCTACCCTGCGCCCCGTTCCCGTCACTTTTGAGCGAAAAAGTGGAACGCTACCGCAGCTGGAGACCTATTTGTCTCGCACATGGCGAGGATCTACTGCGATGGGTTCAGAAATTGTCTTCGAGGATGGAAAAGCGGAGGGCTGCGCAAGAGAGCTGACTCACTGTTCTGCCACAAAAATCAAAAGGGATGTTATGGGCTCCGTGTATCGCGATTTTTCAAAATATTTACTAGAACAC